ATTAACAAAATAGAGTTCTACCATAATGTAGCCATGCTGGAGGCTATTGATGTCAGAAAAGAAAACACAGCAAAATTGGTATTGACAGATGCTGGTGTGCATAAAGGTGTCATACCAAGTTTCGTGCAACATGACTCTGCAGAAAGTTAAAGTTGCAGGAGTCTATGTGGTAGCAATTAAATGCTGATTTGACCAGTTGATGAAGGTATTCCCAAAAATAAGGAAGTTTGCTAGCTGTCTTTATGTATCATAAAGTTAACAGGTTGTAAAACAATGTTAATACTATGCACAAGGACCAAGCAAAAAGTACAACAGGACTTGTAAAAAAGTTTGATTTGATTGGGTGTCATCAAGGAAAAACTAAAGGACATGAGTCCATCCAAATACTATGTAATGTAACTTGGTTTGTTTTTCATAACATGTATTGTAGGAAATGGGAAGAAAAGTAACTATTCAAATATGTTGCCATGAGTTGATGGGGGTTGACATTTTAATTAGAATGCATTCAAGGTAATGATGTTGCCATGTTATTGATGCATGATGCATAAACAAATTGTGATGCAAGTAGGAAAAAAAACTTCAGGCAAAGTATTGTGAAATAGACATTGTTAAGCCATAGTAAATGTTGATGTTGCATAAAATAAAGTATTTGTGCTGGAAGACCCTTTAGAACCAGATATAATTAATATATGACAAATCACAGTTGAAAATAGAAGGATTAAGGAAAGTCATATTAAGATGAATTCTTATAAGTTCCACAAGTTCAAATTGGTAATGATATAGAAATACATTTGTTTTGTTGGTGATTAAAATCATGTAGAAACAATGTAATTATCAAGACCTGAAATTCATAAGTCTAAGTAAGATAAGGATCAGTTATTTGGTTTGTCTCCAAAGAAACAAAAACAATTTGTATTGTGTTTCAAATGAACCTGTTCATGTGGTCAAGGCATCAATGTAAGTTTCATACCAAAAATGGAGAGACCAAATTCAACATATCATTGATTGCAAAACAAACATGTCTGAGTCATATTACATAATACATAGGTTTGTGCATAAGGGAGTACATATGATTGAATTCGACAACAGTAGTTAACATAGTTGTGCAAAAGTTTGGAATGAATCCTTACACAAATGATCTTAACAAAATATTTGAATCTAACACAAAATGAGGTACTCACTAAAGAGTCACTCCTTCTTTAGGTGCTTCACCTTGGTTGCTGAATTCTTTGGAGTCAGGACATCATCTTGCAAAAAATCATTAGGAAAAGAAGGAACGTCGACCCTCTTAGCCGGGGTATTGCTAGATCAAGTGGATGGACTGCAAGTTTGGGTGGCAGAAATTTCTGGATGTGTGTTGTAGTGTTGGTCAAAAGATTGGGTTGGCTAGACAAAAGAAAAATAATTGGTCAATATCTTATGCCTCTAGTACAAAATAATATATTAGAAGATTTGCAACATGTTAAGAAATAAGACATACAATTGGTTCAAGTTCCATATCCATAGCATGCTCTGTATCAGTTTCCAAAAAGGCAACCTTAGAGGTATGCTGCCAAAACATAAGACCACAAATTGAAAGCAATCAGTTATGTTCAAAACATGATAAATTCTAAAGTTTACGCATTACGAGTTCATTTCCACAACCAAATTGTACCTCATCCGGTTTAAGGGCTTCAGATAATGTTTTGTAAACACCGGGATCGTTAAGGATAGTAATAATTGATAATTGATCGAAAAAAGATTGATATTTGATTCTAAATGCAAATTGTTGATCCAAAAGTTTGTCTAGGTGTATGGGATAAATTTTTGGGTTATCCTCTCCAGCCTTGATGAATAATCACATCAGAAATTTAAAGTTGGTGAGTAAAACCATGAATAAGAGAAACATAGTAATCAAATGAATAATGTATTTACCTTCTTCATTACTTGTCCAATTTCCTAGCAGTCATAGTAACATATGGAATAACATCTTTATCCCAAAACACAAAGCATCCAACATGATTATCAAACTCGACTTCTACCTCGATAATGTATCTATGCCATGAAAACAACAACGGTTCAAGTATGTAAAATAGATTGCAAAGTTATAATTGAAGGTATAAAAGCGATATAGAAAAATTACTTTGTCACAGGTTTAACACCTTTGACTCCACAAACACATATGAATTTGGTGCCATTGGACTTGTTTGATGTCTTAGAACTGGGGCAAGCCTTGAAATACCAGTCATGCTTTGACGCCTTAAATATCTTGGTAGTGCCAATGGTTGTGGTAAAACAATCCTAGTTTGTCATCACAAAGAGTTGGTAGATATTTGAAGAAATAATTAAGGTTGTAATGATAATTTAAAAGCAGATCTTGCCGATTTCACAAACGTGACGGATACTCTCGACCTCATTAGAGTTTGTCCAGCTTTTGTTGCCATACTGCACAAAGAATTCAGAAGTCTGGGTTATAGAATGAGTTGGTGCAGCAACTGAATGTGTAGATCCTAGCTTGGAATTTTTTTGTAGAAACAAAGATAAAGAATCAAATCAAAGTAAATAGAGTTCAGCAAAACTATAGATAAGTATCTAACTGTTTAATGTAGGAACATACTTGGTTTTAAAATCGAGAACTTGGGGATGCTCCAAGTTGATGTGGAGTCTTGATTCATTCCATGCATTAGATAGGCTAGGCAATCCAGATGCTGCTTGACAAAATTCAGACTTTAAGTTATTGAATTGATAAACATAGCATGCATATTACATAATGATGTTGTTTGTAAAAACTTGAGACTAAATATTACTACTAACCAAACATGCTGCTACAAAAATGGACATGCTGCTATAAATGTTAATTCTAACTGAATTTGTATTACATGGGATCATTTTGAAAGGACATGTTGCATTATAAATTGAGACAAGTTCATTGTCACTTTGTTTTCTAGTTATGTCCTATTAATACATCTAAGCTTGCAAGAGTCATCCATTTCAAAAGAGCACACTGCAATAGATACCAACAAAATGCAGCAGACAAATGTTTCAAGAACACAAAAATCTTTAAAATAATTTGTAAATTACAAAAGTCAGAATGGTAAAGTGGTAATATTGATGATACATCAGTGGAAAAAACAATGGACATGCGACTACATATGTTACTACTAAATGATGGTAGCATTATAATTTGAGACAAGTTCCATCTAAGGTTGCAAGACTAATTAATTTCTAAAGAGCACACTGCAATGCATACCTACAAAATGCAGAGTCAGTTCTTTGAAGAACAAAAATATCAGTTCTTGCATGTGTATCACAATAACTTTGTTACCTTGATTTTGCTTGCACCATGCGTGTGTTAAGACAATGAGTGTTGGTCCGGGAAACTTGTCGGAGCTATTATAGCTCATGAACTGTTTACAGTAATCATCCCATAACGTAACCTCAATAATATTTCCAGCTCCATCTCTTAGAGTGATGTTGGCACATGATTTATTACCACCACCGCCCATTTGCGTCTTTACAACATCTTGTAAAACCCCGATGACATCTGTAATATATGAGAATGAGAAAAAGTGACAATATTTTCATATGTATCATATGTAGTTAGATCAATATGTATTTAGTATGACAAATAGCAATATACACCATATGTATAATATGAATACATCTCACCATATAAGAGATCAGTGATGAAATTTTCAGTGAGAAAGTCGACAACCGGCTTAAACTTGAATTGGTGTGTCGGTATTTCGGGTATTGGCAATTTTGAAACAGTCATTCCTCCATTGAAGACAAATTTCAACTTGTTGGGGCAAACTTTGAAAGTGCCATCATTAGGCATTGGCTCTCCATTGTAAAGGCAATAAATGTCATGTTCAGTTAGCTGTTCAGACAAGTCTTTAAACTCACGGTTCCGAGTTATGACATGGATTTGATCACCCTACAAAATGGGTAAACATTCAAGAAAATGAACAACAATAATATAGAAACAGAGCAGGTAATGATTACCTGTGAATCTTGAATCACCATTTCGAAATGTTGCAGTCCACTTTTCTCCTTCACAATCCAAAGATCAACAACTCTAATGAGCATTTTCCAAACCTGTTTCCCTTTCTCCAAGTCCTTGATGAGTATTGGGGGTCTTGACATGGTTGCTTAGAAATATAGCAGAAAATAAATTGCTCAGGTGAATGGACATTAATCAGTATTCATATACCTTACAACTTCACAACTGCTAAAATAATTTCTGTGTAAGCAAAAACAATATATTAACAAAAACATGTTCTAATGAAAACAACCTCATATTTAATAGTGTAAAACAAAGAACTTACAATGTATGCATATTTGTGAGTTGGTACTTGAATATATGTATGAATATCAACAATATACAACATAAAAATGAGTTGGTACATGTAAAACAACAATGTCAACTTGCAGAACAACACCAGCCGATCCAGAACAACTTACAGGATTTCATTTTGATTATCGGTAACATTAAAACAACAAAAAATGTGAAAAAACGAACCAGAAGAGTTTGATGATAGCAGAAGTTTGATGATGTTTGTGGGGAGGAGGGAGCAAAATCGTGTGAGTATAGATAGTTTTATGGGTAACTCAAGGTTCAAATGTTTGTGGGGAGGAGGGAAAAAGAGTTTTGCTGCACCCAATAGACAGTTGACAGATGACAAGAGAAGAGAGATATCAAAAAGATTAATTTTGTCATTTAGTTGATTACTGTTGTGTCCAATATAAAGGGTAATTTATTTTAAAAGAAAGAGCAATTAAATAATGTTGGACAATGTTTTTTTGAATAGTTGATAGTTGATACATCTTATCAATATAAAAAAATGCAATGATAAAATGTATATGATACCCTTATAAACCCTTATAAACGCACGAATGCAGAGTGTAGCGATTGTTTCCGTGCCTTGATTTCTTGCAAGTTTTCCACACTCACAACTATATTACTAGAAACAAACCCAACTCTAATCATACAACCTTCAAGGAGAGTCTCCGATTTGAAGATGGACATGGACCTCGATCAAACTTCCCACCACAACAAAGGTTTCCTATTCTATCTACAACCTCTCTCTCTCTCTCTCTCTATGTTTATATATCAAAATGAATCATAGAAATTAATTTATTAAACCCTCTCTTTTTTCCTCAACGACAACGCAGATGGAAAACCCGTTTTGGTAATCTTAGTTGGAGCGCCTGGGAGTGGGAAATCCACCTTCTGTGAAGATGTTATGCGTTCCTCTTCTCGCTCTTGGGTTCGCGTTTGTCAGGTTTTTTTTTTTACTTTCCCTTTTACCTGTTTGATTAAATGCTTCAATGGGTTTCAATTTCACAACTCAACTTTTTTCCTTCTTTATTTCAACGGTGGTAACTAATAACCATTAATTGAAAATTATGAGACACAGACACTGACATATAGTAATAATTTGAAGAAAAAAAATAAGAGTGATTGAATTGAATGTAACAGCATGCACCTTCTTTGATTTGAAGTGTCTGTGCTACATAGGTTGAAAACAAGTGAGGAAATAAACTCTTTGGTTTCAGTTTTTCATTGGAATCAAAATGTACTACTTTTTCTTACTTCATGTTCCATTTGTGAAAGTAATGCTTCAGATACAGGAAAAAAACAAGTGTTGCATTATTTTCTGTATCCTTTTTAAGTTTTAACCTGGATATTATTACACTACTTTAGTTTGTTTGATAACCCTGAATTGAATCAGGGTGTGTGTTATACCTGTGCGTTCTGATCTCCATCCTGATCTTGGATATCTTCATGCACACTTATATTTAAAACATCATAAGAAATTGATTGGTGTTTAGTTTTAGTTCTAGTCTGCTTGAGGGCTTCTAGCGGTGGTTTGGATGGAGGATTAAAGAAACCTTCTTCCCTGTGTGGAAGTTTGTATTATGAATAAATGAAAGTGAGAGGTTTTCATTGGAACACCCTAAACTCAATTTTTGTGAGTTTTATTAGGTAGCATAAATAATCCCTAGGAATATCGCTTGATAAGTCTATCAATGCGGAGACTGTTTCTTGTTGGTCTGTGCTTTGAGTCACATGAGGTGATTTTGAATCTTGACTAACATTGGTTGTACTTTTCTTCTTTTGCTTTAGGACACTATTGGAAATGGTAAAGCAGGAAATAAAGCTCAATGTTTAAGTAGTGCAGCCAGGGCATTGAAGGATGGGAAGAGTGTATTCATTGACAGGTGCAATCTTAACAGAGAACAGCGATCAGATTTTGTAAAGCTTCAGGGTGAAATCCAAATAGATATGCATGCAGTTGTACTTGATCTTCCTGCTAAGCTTTGTATTTCTCGATCTGTTAAACGATCTGGGCATGAAGGAAATTTGCAGGGTGGAAAAGCTGCTGCAGTTGTGAATAGAATGCTTCAAAGTAAAGAGCTGCCCAAATTAAGTGAAGGCTTTAACAGAATAACATTTTGTCAGAGCGAGAGTAATGTCAAAGATGCTATTGATACATACCAAAAACTCGGGCCACTGGATAACCTTTCACATGGCTGTTTTGGTCAGAAAAATCCAGATTCCAAAATCCAATCTAGTATAATGAAATTCCTGAAAAAGGTAGATGTCCCAGTTGATACTGCATCTAAAGAAAATGGCATTAGAGACTCTACTTCCAAGACTCCTGGGAAAAGTGATCCCCTCTGCAAAGATATGGAAAAAATTCCATCAGCACTTGACAATTCCAAGTTAGGGTCAGAGGAAATTGAAGGCCAGGCTGATAAATCTTCCAGTTCCTGTTACAATCAAGTTTCTTTAGATGATACTCCAACTCTGGCATTTCCATCTATTTCAACTTCTGATTTCCATTTCAACCATGACAAGGCAGCTGATATTATTGTTGAGAAGGTTGCAGAGTACTTAACTAAGGTGGGGAATGCCAGACTTGTTCTAGTTGACTTGACACACAAGTCAAAGATTTTATCCTTAGTTAAATCCAAAGCGGTAGAAAAGAACATTGACACCCAGAAGTTCTTTACCCATGTTGGTGACATCACTCGCCTTTATTCCAAAGGAGGTTTGCGCTGTAATGTCATAGCTAATGCTGCCAACTGGTAAGATTATATGATTTTGGTGTATGCAAATAATGTAATTCCAAGCTGAAATGGAAATTTTAACACATAAGAAAGTAGACCTCATATAGGTTCATATGTGTGGCAATTATGAGTTTTATATGGTAGGCCTTATTCTATGTGCTGGGGTTTCCGCAGTCTCTAGCGATCTGATACAAAATTTAGAAATTTCTCGCTAACTGTAATTTTATGATCAAGTTCTAGATTAAAGCTCATCACTTTTTCTTCTTTGATGCTTCTGCTTCCACCAATGTATCAACTAAACTACCTTTATTATGGTCACCCCTTTCTAGTTATTTCAGTTGATACGAAAGCATTGTTTATTGATGTAAATCTCATTAGTTTTGACTTATTTCCCATGGATAAAATATGTTTTCAGTCAATTAAATCTGTCATTCATTTTCACATGTTCACTTGGTTTAATGAAAAAACCTTTGCAGGAGGCTAAAACCTGGTGGTGGAGGTGTTAATGCATCAATTTTTGATGCCGCAGGTCCTGAACTGGAGTCTGCAACCAAAGAGAAATTGAAGACTCTTTCACCTGGGAATGCTGTTGTTGTCCCTCTACCTTCATCTTCTCCTTTGTTCACAAGAGAAGGTGTGACCCATGTAATACATGTCCTTGGACCTAATATGAATCCACAAAGACCAAATTGTCTGAACAATGATTATGAAAAAGGCTGCAAAGTTCTCCAAGATGCTTATGCATCCCTATTTGAAGGTTTTGCATCAATTGTTAAGAACCAGGTACAGCAAAACGAAAACCCTGGAAAAAAGTTTCTGGAAGTGCAGGATCAGTCTGAACAGCGTTCGAGAAATCATTCCCCAAACACTGATCAAAAGAGTAAGAGAGATGCTGATCATGGATTGGAAAAAAGCAAGAAATACAAGGGAAGTCAAGATGGTTTTGACACAACCTTTACAGGTTCTAGGGATGAAAAGATAGATTCAGAGCATAAAAGAAGTGACGGTAGCACGAGGAAGGCATGGGGATCATGGGCTCAAGCTCTTCACCAAATAGCTATGCATCCTGAAAAGCACAAGGATGACTTGCTTGAAATTTCAGAAGACATTGTTGTTTTGAATGATATGTATCCTAAGGTGAATTCTTCCTTTTTGATTATTTTTTTCTTCATTATGACATGCTCGACTCTGTAAATGTATCATACTGAATTTCCTTCTGCTTTGCAGGCACAGAAGCATGTTCTGGTCTTGGCACGGACTAGAGGTCTTGATTGCCTGTCAGACGTCCAAAATGAGCACCTCTCGGTATTGAAAAGGTTGCATGCAGTGGGTTTAAAATGGGCTGAGAATTTCTTGCGCGAGAATGCTTCACTGATATTTCGCCTTGGATATCACTCGGTATGCGGAGTTTATATTCAAGATCTATTTTTTTTTTCCACTTCCCCTTCCCAGAAAAAGAAAAGAAAATGAGGATCCATATGTTTTTTGGTAAATGAGTGACTTTGCCATGAGTATAGAACACATTTAGATTAGTTTGTGGCTAAATTGGATTCAAATTTGATTTCTTCTGTGGCTGGGCATTTTTTTGTCATTAACTCAGACTAGTTAAGTGATAATTCACGAGTGAAACAGTTAAAAAGAATATTTTTGAATTTTGTAAAAGAAGTAAGCTGTTATAAAAAGGATTGTCTAGTGTGTGCAAAGTACCTTGCACACATAAGGATCTTTAATTACTCCCTTTTTTCTTTATTATTACCTTCTGTATGTTTTAGAAAAATCAGTATAAAATAAATTAATCACATTATTGTTGCGTTGATAAGGTGTATATACAAGTAAGGATCTTTAAAAAGGATTATTCTGTGTGTGCAGAGGGTTTATAAAAAAGATTATTCTAGTGTGTGCAAAGTACCTCGCATTGCATACATAAGTTTTTTTTTCTTTCTATTTTTGTGTCTGCTTTAAGGTTTCATTTGTAAACTAAATTTTTCAGGGGCTAGTAAACTATCTTATTTTCAGTTTTTCACCCTTTTTTATGATACTTTATATGCATATATGCTGAACTTTCTGGAATGTCTACATTCTGCAGGTTCCATCAATGCGACAACTACATTTACATGTTATTAGCCAGGACTTTGAATCAAAACATTTGAAGAATAAGAAGCATTGGAACTCGTTTAACACCGCTTTCTTTCGTGACTCGGTGGATATAATTGATGAGGTATCTAATCATGGAAAAGCAACATTGAAAGATGATGACAAGCTACTGTCTATGGAGTTGAGGTGCCACAGATGTAAAAGTGCGCATCCAAACATACCCCGCTTAAAATCACATATTAGTAGCTGCCAAGCACCCTTTCCTGCTCACCTACTCGAAAATGGCCGTTTGGTTGGTGCATGAACTTGGTAAGCCCTTTCTCCATAAAATCAAAAGAAAGATAAATATATAAGTAAATTTTGATTTGGTCAAAAAGAGAAATATCTAATGTTACAGTGCTAACCGATTACAAACTTCCCAGTCAATCTCCCAACTTTTCTTTGGGGTCACACCACAGTGCTTGGGGACGTATTCCTGGTAAAATTAGCAAGGCGTTAACAAATGAATAGTTATTATGTATGTATAGAATCTTAATTTGTTTTTTTTTTTCTTTTCTTTTTCTATTCTAAATATCTAGTGTTCATCTGGGAATTTAGACTAATTGTTTGTTTTAGTGGGATTAAACTCTGGTACTAGCAGAACAATTGATTTTAACTTAAGTACATTAACCACTTGCATCTAATCACATGGTTAATTTATCTTATATTTGAATGTATTATGAGTATGTGCATCTTTATGTGAGTTAGAAGTTGTTATTACTATTTCAATGAAATGGTAATAAAAAACTTATACTAGACAGATTAAGTACTAATTTTAGCTAAGAGTAAATGAGATGGTAATTTGTAAATTTGGGAATTGTGCTGTATTATATGACGTGTACCTCAAGCTTGCAGATGAGGTGTTGTGCTACAGCATTGTCCATGAATGACAGCAAAGAGTTATAGTAACCATCTACGTTTAACAAACCCACCTCCAATGCAATCAATCCATTAAGATCTGCATTTAATATACATTTTTAATCTACAGATCCAATTGCATGCACTTTTATTATTATTTATGAGCAATCCTCTTTTGTCGCCCAATTAAAATCATCTCAGTCTACTATTAGTTACAACTAACTTTATACGTGGTTATTAACTGAAAGTTAGTTATTTAATATAATCCTATATAAATGATATACTACGCGTTTGTAAAAACAATCCCACATAATTAAATAAAATCCTCACTTTGATCCTCTCAATTTTCTCTTCTCCTTATTTCTCGAAAAGCAAGAAAGCTCGTACTCTAACGACTTAAAATTAAAATCTTTATGTTTTAAGTTTATAATTGATTTTTACACTCAAATTGATCTTTAAATTCACTTTTCCATAAATATATGTTTATAAACAAATCAACTTACTTTACCTTACTTTTAATTAACATCAATTTTTAGTATTCATTTCATTGTCATCACTCCATAATCAAACACAGAAAATATATTGTGGGGCAGAGTTGATGGATTAGATTCTCATGTAACTACTGACACAAAATATCACTGATTCCCTTCACACATCATAAGATAACCAATTCAAGCAACAAAATTATTAAAATACTCTTCCTTATTTTGGAAATTCATCGTCAACAGCTCGTCAAATTTAGTAGTAGTTTCAAACGTATTTGTGTCTTCTGTGACACCAGCCCTGGCAAAAATCCTAACTACCAACTTGCTGCTATTCAACTCGCCCAACATCACTATATATAAATATATTATTAATTATTCTTCGTATAAAACCAGGTTTCTTATCTCCAATATTCATATTGTTATTATTATTAAAATAATAATTAGAAGTCATAAATCAAAATACAATTAATTAATATTGGAGATAAAAAACCTGGTTTTATATAAAGAATAATTAATAATATATTTATATATTGTTTTAGATATTGGTTTCATAATAGAAACCTGGTTTTAGATATTGCCATTTGATTTCTTTTCTATTGCTTTAATTTTGGTTTCATAATAGGCAGTTTGTTTTAGATATTGAAATCCTTTTTAGTTAGCATTTAAGATTTTTTTTTAATAGTAGAGAGAAAAACATAGTGTATAGTGTTTATACGTTTTTAATCATGTTAATGAAAAATAAGTTTAACATGCCTAGTTTTAATGTGTATGTTTTCTTAAAAGTCACATAAAAATAATCCATAAATTATTTATATTCTCATTCTAATGTGCTTAAGATAGCAATTTAACATTTACTTTAATAAATATGAATTACACGAAGGCAAAAGAATATCAAATTGTGTTGTTATTCATTTTTTAATAACAAAATTAATAATATTAAAAATAACATCTATAGTTCTATGAGACACATGATTGTTATACAAGAGTTTAAATTCTTTGTAAAAGATTTACTTTCTTTAAATGATAGGAATCCAAAAATGTCAAATACAAATCATATAAAAATATATTGATTTTCATAATACGTTTTCTCGAGTTTGATTACCTTACTTGAAGAAACTTTGTAAGTTATTTATCCAAATTAAAACCCCATATTCTCAAGTTAAATTCACTTGCCCATGTTTTAATTATATTCATTTATCAGTCAAAAATGTATTAATTATATTCATTTATCAGTCAAAAATATATAAAATTATTATTGATGTAAGAGTCGATCTTTCTTCCTATTTGTCAGTCAAAAAATCAAAAATATTTCTTTCTTCCTATACTTAGCCACTAAAATATATAAAAAAGGATATCCAAACATTTGTTGGTGAAGTTAAAAATTGTGGCTTCACAATTTCACATCAAATATGCATCAATGAGAATAAATTCTAAAAGAAAATAAACATAACCTTTTATTCAATTGAAGTAAATTATTATGAAAGTTGAATTAATATATTTAATAATCATGAAAATAGAATTAATTATTAAAAGAGATCTTAATAATTTAAGTGTTGTAATCGATTAATACAAAGGTGTAATTAGTTACGACAAGATCAAAAGCATTTCTGAGTTATAGAAAAAGTAAAATTTTTTAAGGTTACCACTGAAAGTGTTATTATTTTCATATTAGTTTTAAACGGTTACAAGTTTGGCGTAACCGGTTATAAGTCTGAATTTTTGTATTTTTAGTTATGTACTTGTATGTTTTATGTCTCAATCATTTTTGAAATACTTGTATAAATGCTTTGGAGACATTCTCATATTTGGTTAATGCAATTATCACTCCCATCCTCAATTCTCTCTCTCTCTCTCTCTCTCTCTCTCTCTCTCTCTCTCTCTCTCTCTCTCTCTCTCTCTCTCTCTCTCTCTCTCTCTCTCTCTCTCTCTCTCTCTCTCTCTCTCTCTCTCTCTCTCTCTCTCTCACACACACACACACACACACACACACACACACACACAATTTTTCTCTATATTCTATTTTTCTCCATCATTGTTCATCAATCTTGTGGCTCAAAGTCCCAACATTTGGCATCAAGAGCCTGGTTCTGATTCACAAACACCTAGTGTGCAACATGAATTATGTCTCCAATGAAAGAATATATGCAAACCTACCTATCCTTGATGTGAAAAATTGTGACAAAAGGTACAAGCAAATGAAAATATTATTTGGCTACCAAGATGTTCTTGAAGTTATCAAGAACGGGGTGACTCCTTTTGGTCAAGGTGCAACGGATGCACTTTTTTTATCCATCAACGTGTGAATGGTGACAACTTTGAGAAAGTTGGTGATTGCAAATCGTCAAAGTAAGCGTGGGAAATCTTAGAGAATGCCTATGCAGGGGTTAACAATGCGAATGTGGTGAGGTTATAAACTCACAAGCGTCAACTTAAGTTGATTCAAATGGAAGAAAAAAGAGACAATCAAGGATTTCACAACAATAATCACTTGATTAGTGAATCAAGTGAAGGCATGTGGAGAAACAATCAGGGAGCAGTATGTTATCGCGAAAATCTTGTGTTATTTAACACCAAAATTTGACAATATGGTTGTAGCGATTGAAGAATCGAAGGATCTTGCACTGATGAGTAAAGTGGATATGTAAAGCTCTCTTGAGACTCATGAACAAAGGATGGAGGAGAGAAATAATGATAAGGCAAAGTCGGAGATTGCTTTGCAAACTCGCTTCAACGAGAATGACAAAAGATCAAAAGGAAAATGGCCAGGTGGAAGAGAGTCCCAAAATTTCAAGAATTTGTCTTGTCATAAGGGTGAGAGCAGTTGCAACAAAATTGGTGGTCAAGGCAACTTTAGAGGTAAAAAGAAGATGTTTGACAAAAGCAATGAGCAGTGCTTTAAGCGTCAAAGGTTCGATCATTTTGCAAAAGAGTGCAATGCAAACACGAAGGAACCTCGAGGAGATAAAACCAAGGTTGCAAGACAAGATTTTGATGAAGAGAATACACTATTGGTCATGATCACAGAAGGAGAATGCAACAGCAAGAGGCTATAGGACAACAACAGCAGTAATTCTGAGAATGCTGTAAAAATAGGTTGTAACTAGTTACATGATATGGTTGACCGGTTACATGCAGAAGAAAATGCCATGATGAGTACGAAAGTAGGTTAGTGTTGCGAGGAACGGTATTTGAAATCAGATTGTTTTATTCATTTGACAGGGAGGAAAGATTGGTTTGTTAAAATCAATCGTGCCATGAAGAACAAAGTGAAGTTCGTAGATGACACCACTCTAGCGACCGATGGGGTTAGTAATGTCTTGATCATGAGAAGGAATGGTGGACATTCCTTAATCAAAAATATATTGTACATTCCAGAAATCAAATGTAACCTTCTATGTATTGGTCAATTGCTTAAGAAGGATTACAAGATTCACTTGGGGTTGCACGTTATGGATGCAAACATAGTTCTAGTCCTTAAAGCTCCTATGGATACCAATAAAACCTTCAAGGTTGAGCTGAAGGTTACGGAGCATAAATCTCTTGCTACAGCGGCAAGTCGAGAATAGTGGATATGACATTATCGTCTTGGGTTGCAAAAGAACGAAATCGTATCGGGGTTGTCATTGATCAACATATCAGCTAAAATTTATGAAGAATCTGTGCATGTAAAGCAACATAAGGGTAAATTCAGCAAGGATGTAGACCGTAGAACCAAGAATCACCTTGAGATGGTGTATTCGAATGTGTGTCGACCGATGCAAGTAGATTCCATTGGTGGCAATAGATATTTCGTCACATTCATCGACAATCATAGTCGAAAGCTATGGACATACCTAATCAAGAGATATGATGGGGTATTTGAAGTGTTTAAGAAGTTAAGTCCATGTTTGATATGCAAAGTGGTCAAAAAATCAAAGTGCTCAAAATGTATAGTGGAGGCGAATGTGTACCAAAAGACTTTGAGAGGTTTTGTGATCAAGAATGAATTGTACATGAGGTTGTTACACTTAGTTGACAATGTTTCCACGATTAGTCTTGCTAAGAAACCAATTGCACATGAGAGAAGTAAGCATATTGAGATGAAGTTTCACTACTTGAGAGAACTTGTTAGTGAAAAAAGGTTAAGATTGGGATAATACAGGTATGAACCTAAGTGATTGATTTGTTAATAAAGGAGTCGCAAATGATGTGTTCAAGAGGTTGCAAATGAACATGAGCATAGAAGACTTGAAGCACTTAAATTAAGGTGATGTGTTAAAAGTGATCTTAGTAATTTAAATGTTCTAACGGATTAACACAGAGGTGTAACCGATTACATCAAGACCAAATGCGTTTGAATACAAATCAAACTCAATACTAATATTATGACGAATCAGATAACAAAGGAGAGTGTGGGCGAACTTCAGGCTAGATTGATGATGCACCAACGAAGGCAGAAATGGCTCGACAAGCTGACATTTTTATTGCCTTGCCAGGTTACTTTTCTCTCTTCATCCTCTTGAAGAAAATAATAGTGAGTGTTTACAATGCCGTTATAAAGCAAGTAAACACAACATTAGATTGAAGTTACAAACTCTGGCTTTCACAATGAAACACATTTGGATGTAGTTCCAAACAAGCTATTAATATTTTACTATGATGAAATGGAATCAATCCAATAAAAAAAGTTAATCTTTGCTCACAAATGTCACTTTGAACCAGTATATATAAATAATTAAAAAATTGGTATGGCTTTAGTGTTAAGTTGCAAATTTAAAGAGTATGTCTTATTTCATTGCAGTTTTTTAAACACTTATTATATTCCCGTTCATATGTATAGGTGGATATGACACCCTGGAAGAACTGGAAGTGGTCACTTGGACTCAACCAGGAATCCATGATAAGCCAGTGAGTATATAAATAATAATAAAAGTGCATGCAATTGGATCTGTAGATTAACATTCGATTGTTCAGTGTCGTCTGCGCCACCCTGCAAAAGGAATTGAATTACGAAAAAAATAAAGGAAGAGAAAAAATAACTAAGAAAAATGAGGTGAGCTTTTATTACCTTAAGACCATTTGTACCAGAGATAGAGTTATCACTCTCGATCCGTTCAGAAGTATCCTTGGCAGTAGGTTCAGAATCAACATTAATCACTATTGGAGTAATAGGCTTCTTGAATTTAATTATGATAACGTTGGGCTTCGGCTGAAAAGTGGCGTCAGAGGTCTTCGACTTCTTCTTTTTAGCAAGTTTACAAGTGTTTGGTGAAAAATCATCATCATCTGACTCAACTATGAGCTTGGAGATCGTTGGTCTTTCGTTTCCTTGAAGTTGGAGGTGGTTTTGACTTATCTGAAAATAACACAAACATTAGCATACGAAGGTAATACATCAAGCAAAATAATAACACACAAAATATATCGTTGTTGTTGTTTTTTAATTCATATTGATCATAATGTTATGTATGTTTTTGTTATTCGCTAATATTGATGATTATCCTCGTTCTTATTTCTTGTTATTCATTAGCTACTTATCCTTGTTATAATGGTTTTGAAATGATATTGAAAGATATTTTTTTTAGTTAGATCGAAAATTTCTATCTATTAGATACTAAACTCTGGACAACATTTAAGTTTAACATTCACGTGTATTGTTGAATCTTAAAGATGTTGTATTTGTTAATCGACTGAAAAATAGTCTATTAGAAAATACGTTTGATTTCACATTGTTGTTTAGACATAAATAACAGACACGGAATAATATGTGATAAAATTAATCAATGGTAAAGAATATACATAATTGATTAAGAAAATACATGAAAATAAAATAATAAAATGTAAATCCTCCAACAAGTTCAATTCTATCTATTAAACTCTTATTTTCATTTATTGTTACTTTTAACTTTGTTATCAAAAATCAAATTTTTTTTAAACAGTTATATTGAACTATAAAAATGATCGAACAGTTTTTAATTATCGCACGAATACAATTACTTATTTTTGTTATTGCATCAGCCTTTTTCACAATCTTTATCATAGTCAAATAAATATACTAAAGGATACACGCAAATAGCAAATAATCATCTTCTTCAGGTTTATCTAAAGTAGTATACATTGATAGTTGATATGCGACAAAATACATGGTTCTCGTACAACAGAAGTAAATATAAGTCAATGACCTCAGGAAGTCAGCAAGAATTAGAGCCTAAATTGATGGTTGAGGCTCGACAAGAAGTTGAATACAATAACGGTTATATGCTCGAGACCGCAAATAGTGTTTGAAACAAACGTCAATCATATTTCAAACTTTTCTGTCTCTAAATAATAGTCCTTTAAATTATTATACATAAATTTAAAAAGAATTACGATTGAATAATTGAATATAACAATTTTATAAAACAGTCCTTAATTATTATTTATTGTTATAGTATGATGTAATATACTAAGGAAAACCGAACTCTATTATTTATTATTTATTGTTATTTTAAAAATTGTGTATTGAATTTACTATAAATATGTAATTAGCACATTTAGACAATAAAAATATGATAAACCGAACTCTGCTTGCAACCTAAGTGACGACATTATGAGAGTTTGATCATATAGATTAAAAAAAACATTTGTTGAAATATTTATAAAATAAATCCCAGTCATAGAATTAATCGGCACTTTAGACAAATGTCTTAATTTTCAAAAACTAGACATCGCCCTGATTAAAATCGTGTAGAGTATATTTTCAAGATAATTAGTTACTTCTTTTTCAGACCTTGGTGTAACTGATTAGTAATTAATAATCCTGCATGTTTTTCTAAATTTTATTAAAACCATGGAAGGGCTAAGAATTGGACCCTTGTGAACTGCAAAATAAACCCATACAGGGGAGCCTCCAGAGAAAAATAACAATTGAAAGGTCTATCAAATTGAATAATGTTATCAAATTTAAGTCCTATGAATATGTCTCTATCCAAATGGTAAATTATTGACTCCATTATCTTATGTTTGGACAGTGAAAAGAAATTAGTCAAACAACTTTCAAACCAAAACTAAATGGCTGAAAAAATATGTTACAACAATGCTAACATTAGGGTAAAATTACTCCTAGAAATGATGATTTATTTGCCACGATTATGACCAGGTGGCGGCATTGGCTTCCTACCTGCTCCTCTATCTAATAGAGAATAATGATTGGCTGACTGTTGACCATAATCTCTATACCCACTAGGGTTACCCCGTGGAGTCCAATGCTGGTCAGAACCTCCTCTATATGGTTGGAAGTTTTGGCTGTGACGCCCAGAATCATGATGACTTTGACGGGGATATGAACCTTGTGTATTTGTAAAGCGAGGATTTTGATAGTTTCCTGTAGAATGCCTTGCATTTCCACCATCAACATGGTAGTTATTTCTATCATAATGATGTGATCTAGGGTTTTGATGGTCACCTCTTGGAAAGGAATTTGATTGATGATGAGGACTATGAATAACTGGTGGAGTGTATGGTTGGTTATAACCATACTGTGCAGTAGGGGCAGTATAAGGTATATACTGCGGAGGAGCTGATAAAGGCGGATGAAGTCCAGCAGCATAGCCAGGGCGTGAATCGTAGTTATAGCCAGGGTGCGATTCATAGTTATTGCGAGGGTGTGAGTGTCTGTGACCCCTTGGGCCATTATAAGGCATCGTTGATCCATTAGGATGATGGTATCTATTTGCATCCGACCTGACCTGTAAGGAATTGGCAACGAGTCTGTGTGCTGCCTCTCCAAGCTCCCGGCCAGAAATGGATCCCGGTGGGTTTTTTCTGAGATAGAAAATCAGAGCACCATCAACAGCTATGATCAGCTGGACGACATGATATTGCATGCTATACAACAGTAAGTAACAATTTTAACTTCAAGTCTTTTAGCCCAATATATTAAACCCAACGCCTTACCTTCCACTTTCGTTATATCTCCTACCATTATCTTCATGCCATGGAACAGGTTCAGGTTGTAGATCCCCAGGCGTCACAATCTGTAGAGAAGTTTTTTTCAGCAATATGAAGTAAACCACTGAAATTGAGCAGGAAACCCGAGAAGGGAACCCAGGGAGTTAGAGGACTACAATAAGCAGCAGGTAGCAATTTTAATACCTTCTTTGGAAATTTTACTCCATGTGGTGGTCGGGTTATATGTTCATGCACATCTGGAAGTCTATAGATTGCACATCTGAGCGCCAGTCCAGCAAATAAGAAACATAACATCACTCTCGTGTTACAAAAATAATATGAAGCAAACATCAAGGGTCTGTTGAAGTGCGACCTCATCAGATCCATGATCATACATAGTGCTTTAATTAGATTATACTCGGCATAGATAAACTTACATGACATGATTATCCATGATGTCTTCCATGCCTGCAATAGGGGACCTGAATATGGGAGGGCAAGGTTCTCCACCACATAAGGATATGTATCCATTCATTCCACCACTGCATGTATCCCTAAATAACATCAGAAAGTAGTCGAGCAAGATCTTAAATTTGCCATAATAAATAGATACATAGAATATATGGTGCAGACTAAATAATTTGATGCATACAACCTGTCACTTTGCTTGTCCTAAAAGTTTGAAAATATAAAATACACCATCAGAGGGACTAAAACAAGTGTTTTTTTATTCATCAAATTGACAAAATTCTCAACAAAAGCTTGCAATACATGCACATCCCATAATGTAGCAAATCTAACTATTTAATGCTTGGCAATGAAGTATATGTTCATCCCATGATGTAGCAAACCTAACTTTTAAATTCCAGTTAAGAACTTACAAATGACACAGATTGCTTAAAAGGGTTAGGGATAGTTCCTATGGCTACTTCAAAATCAGCCAACAGGTGCAAGAGGCTAACCCCCATCCCTGGACTGATGAGTTAAAAACGACCTAAATTTGAAAATGCTTTACTATCAGTATTCACATTGTAGTCTGAGAATCTTACATTGTACACAAGTTATTATTTAGCTTTTTCAATGATCCCTGTTTATGTGGTAACTGAATTTAACTTGATATTATTAGGCACAAATCTAGCAATTATGTGGTAATTGAGCCTTTTATTAAAATAACATAATTTATTCAAATGAAACGATAATCAACACAAAGGCACAACAATAATTTCATAAAGAAAAAATCAATTTAAAATTCCCATAAGAGCATAACATAGCTTTCCGTAAGAGCATAATGTAGCTTGGCGCATAATCCTGGAAATAACTGCACAACTCATTACCTTAAACAATGTTCTATCAATACAACAACGCATTTATTTACCATTATGATTAGAAGCAAATCAATTTAAATATTTTCTCGACCAAAAAGTATGTTCAAAAAATTGCAAGGCTTAGTGAGAACTGACCTTTCATTGGGATCTATTTTTTCCTTGACATCAGCACGTTCAGTGTTGGACATGTTTCTACATTTGTTGTCGAGTGTACTAATGCATGCAGAGAGAGGATGACACAAATTCACAAAAATCATCTCGAACATTATTGCATTCCGTCGCTTTTCCTCTGGCTTTTATTTTTTAAAATAGACATAATATCCAACAAAATATAACTAAAATCAGTATATCATAAAAAGGGTAGGTCTAGAAACATGAGGGGAAGGATCGGAGAAAAATAGAACAATGAACTAAATAAATGTGCATTGATAGAACTTTATGAGGGAAAGAGCAATACAGTTAACAAGTTCTCTACTTTCCTAACTTCCTGAAGAAGGCGCACTTCATCAATAAAAGGCAACTTTGCAATACCCTAAAAAAAGGAAAATTTTATTACAAACCATGCCCTTATGTTAGAAAATCAAAGATAGGTGTAAACATAACGAGGTAAACCTGCCAAGCATAGCGTTTGCCATTCATGTCCACTTCAAAATCTGACACAAGACATCAAATATTACATAGGGGGGCAAAACAGATAGATAATTCAGTGAAACTTCTAAAGCTTCGAGTGTACTTTGATGTTAAAGACATACCTATTGGATAAAAGTCAATAATTGGAGAGTTTGGATCAGTCATAAGTTTCCTATATGGCTCGGGTAGAGCATGAGAGCTGCAGATATATTATATTTTCCACGTTACAAAAACTAAGTTTAGTTTAATTTACAACTTCTATTTAAAATAATGGGATAGCAAGTAAACCTTGCAGCGGGAAAAACTCCAAGAAGCTGATCAAATGGTTTGAATGGGGTACCCAACTCAAAGTTAATATTAAGCCCGCCAAGGTCCTTGAGATCAGACGCAAAAGGGGCATAATGATAGGGATAAAACCTGATTTATAAACAAAAAGAAAATAAGAAAAACAAGAACAATAAAACAAGCAAATTATTGGGTAATGGCTATGCACTATTAGACAATAAAATATTGAATATCAAAGGCAAGTAAAAATGAAAAACCCTCTTCTTATCTCTCTTTTTCCCATTAATTTTGACCGGTTGCAAAAGAAAAGAAGGATAACAATCCTCCTAAACAAACAACAAAATATGAAACAACCAATAAAAAGAGAAAATTGATGGTAGAAACAAAGATTCCAAGTCTCTCAACATATTTGTTAATCAAAAGATGATTGAGAAGGCTAGAATCTTCATACCAATTCTAGTCTTAAATTAAGTGATTGCTAGAGAAACCTCTTTACGAGAATTATGAACTAACCAAACACATCGAATTGTAGCTAAGTGTAGACATTTCTTGATTTTATATATTTTGCACATTCTTCAATTCTTATTCAAATTATCAAAAGGTAAGTTATAAATAGTTTCCATCAATCCATCTAACAGAGATATTTGATTCTTGAATTTAGTCAATATAAAGAAAAGTTATATAATCTTGCTTTTAAAAATTTAAACCTAAATCATAGATTGCGCGTTGCCAAGTGAACACGCTTTGTATACCAAAACAGTGAAAGTAATCATCAATAATTGGTTCAACGACGGTGCTATATCACACACCCAAATTCAATTAGAATATCATTAAGATCTTTATAGAAATATCAGTAGAACAATCAAAAAACAAGTTGGCAATATGTTCTGAGCATATGCACCACTTATCACATGATAAATTTCTATCTAACAAAACCCAAATTCAATTAGAATACCATGGAAGATCTTTATAGAAATATAAGTAGAACAATCAAAAAACAAGTTAGTAATATGTGGTGAGTTTTTTCTGTAGAACAATCAAAAAACAAGTCAGTAATATGTTCTGAGCATGCCCCACTTATCACATGATAAATTTCTATCTAACAAGACAATTTGGTAATCATAAGTTTCTCATCAATGTGAGGAAGTCGGAAATATAGCAAGTACTATATAACGGGAAAAGTAAAGCCAACACAACTTCATACTCATGCAGCATTCCAGAGAAAAAACTCACCATTGCCAAGAACAAACACCTTCATAATAATAATGCATCACCCAACATAGACCTTCTGTGTATTTCAAGACCTATACGATAAATAAATTGCAATAAGAAATCTCATATCTTCACATATGAATCTAAACCAATAAAATTCAATTTCTCAACTTACAACATCTTTCCGTATGGCATCAAGTTCCTCCGGAGTTTGAGCAGAAAATTTTTCCTCATAATACCTCTCCTTCCAGCCAGGTTCTCCCAACTTAATCTGTAAACCAAAATATATTATCTACAAGTCTGCAGTGCCCTAAATTAATTCAACATAAAGGAAACCAGTTTTAAAAAATGAAATATAGATACAAAAGAACAAGTGCAAGCATTACATTATGACACATCATACTTCTCAAATTACCAAGATATTGACATAAACCATAAACACTTCAAAATTAATGTGGTAACCCCAGTGATTGTAGGCTTGTAGCATGTCCTCAAGACAAAGAAAGCTCTGGGTTGTTAACCATAACTCACAATATGCATATACTAAAAACATGCATTAAATAGGAAACCCAACATACACAAAGGGGGTGGTTTGATCCGGTATGCTTCCCAATATGGGAATAGCTAGACCCATTTTGTGGCCAATAGATTGATTGCACTACTTGTACTTTTAGTTTGGGGCTACTACGACTAGGACCGCATTGATTTATAATTGAAAAATTAAAATACATGTATATATTAGATAATCAAAGTACAAATGAATAATCCTTCAAAGCATATGCTTCAAATTCAAAAACTTTGATTGGGCTCAAAAGATTTTGATTTAATGCTTTCTACAATGAATGATCAATACTCACCAGAAAATGTTTTAAATGTTGGTTGAGATTAAAAGAGTTTGATTTAATGTTTTTTTACAATGAATGATTGATACTAACCAGAAAATGTTTAAATAGTAACTATTTATAGCGACTCTATCTAATAAAATCATTCCAAGTTCTTCGAATTTTCTTTTATATGAAGCTTGCGTACTATGAAATTCCAAAATATTATGCATCTAAATATAAAGCTCCTGGGATAATAACAGTGTTATTAATAGCAGATGGCCAAAAAAACCAATATAAGAAATAGTGAATAGAGTAGCTGGCGAATAGCGGAAGCTGCAAAGGGGTTGAAATAAACAATTATATACAAAATAAGGCATGTTGCATACAAAAAAAGCTCTACATAAACAGAAATTAAAGTAAACATGAATAGGGAAATATAATAGAAAGAAAATGTTTTGGGAAAAGACTGAGGAATATTTTCATTTAATACCCAGCTTCAACTATTAATGAAGTTCAAAATCTCAAAACAAAATTATCTGTGTTCTATGCTTTACCTTGTCCTCGTGACCATCTTTTGAGTTGAACACATCATTTTTGTCACGAAGTACCCCCTTTAGCTTTATTTTTAAGTCGTCTTTATTATCTTGAGCCTGAAAAGCAGGAGAATACTTAACTAAAAGAAAAGGTACAGAGAAATCTCTAGCTCAATATAGAACTCTTTGGAAAAAAACTATTAAACAATGTATTAAAATGCTTTTTTAAATCTTACAGGCTCATAACCAGTAAAAGGTTAGCCCATATATTAGTTCTAAAGAATGCTCTCCTGAAGCAGAAAAACATACATCCATTTCAAGACTGGTCTCAGCTTCAACAATTGCAGCAGCAACAGTTGCTCCTGAAGATGACCTAGACACTTTACTAGGCCTCTCAAAGACTTCTTTATTGCCTTTACTAACTGAAGTGGGCCCAGATTGTTGAAACGGTGAAGGCGTTGGAGCTGAAGCAAGACGAGAACCATGGAATTTTGAAATGGCAACTAGAGATTCGGGTTGAACTTGAGGCCCAACATCGTCGCCTCTTCTTGCTTGTGACTTCTGACGCTTTATTCTTTCAACTTGTCGCTAAAGAGAGGTCAAATAACATTTAAAACACAGCAGAAGAATTACTTCAAAGCATGCAATCAAACATATATTACAATGAACATGAAAAACTAAACAGCAATATGAACTCTTTGTTGACCACTCTGTTCCAATATTGTTCCCTTCATTTCATATACAAAATACATGGACAGAGATTGAGAAAAGTTATACAAGTAGCAACCGTTTTCCTGCACATAGGTACGGCATAAATACAGCATAGATATTGGGCATAGACTGATGATTTCTATCTACCTTATTTTCATAGAGGAAAAGATGCAACTAGATACAGTGGTGAAAGGAAATAACAAAATAATAAATTCAATGTTGATCATGATTACAGTTACAATACAAAATGAATTAAAAACATCTGATAATCTGAATAATTTAAAATTCCATAATCACAAATCCAGATAACGTAACAATTGAGTATGCTAGCATACCGAATACTCAGTGTTATTTCCTATAACTATTTCAAGATCAGACACGACATATAATGAACACATTATAAACCATATTTACAGTTATTGGCCGACAACCAAAGCTACAAGCGGGCTAATATAATGATATAGTTATCCAAGATCAACGGACCTGATGCAACCGTGCTCTTTTCTGGAATATGCTATCTTCATATGACCCAACAGCCTGAATAAAATGCTCCACTCTGCTTAAATTTGGCTGAGAAAAGAGGAAAAGGAGACATAAGGCACAAGCTTGATTTAGATGGATAAGACAAAGATATACGTCAATCATCACCCTTGTTATTATCAAGTAAGTACCTTACTACCATTTGTCAAATAACCACCCAATTCCCTAAATTCCTTCTTGTATACGGCCATCAGCAAGTTAATTGCACCCTATAAAAAACACAGAAATTTCAAACAATTGTATAAGTTAAACAACTTTTCTTGTGCACTTCAGATAATAAAGGACCAGTATCATAACTATTAAGTATTATAAACCACCACTCTTGTATACTTAAAAGACCACGCATTATCGGTAAGGACAAAATTTGCACATTAATTCTTATAAATATAACCCTTACCTCGCGAATCTCTAGCGTAGGCATGTGTGGTAGGAAATCATTTCCAACAAAAAAGCATATGAAGATAAAATCATCCAATATGCATTCAAAATCAATCTCAAAAGGAGGATTAGGTATTCTCATTTCATACTCCAGATATTCCCTCAGAGTCCAAATGTTCAGAAACTACAGAAGAAAATGCAAAAGTAAGAATTAAATCGCATTGCATTGACATTATTTCATTGTTAATTTAAAATTTTATCTCAAACCCTGACCTGAAAGGGCTTTTTAGCAACAATAGCATCTCCTTTTTCATCAAATTCTCCTGCCTTCCTTTTAGCCTGTCCTTGACAATCTGCCGCCATATGACCCATCTGACCACACACAAAGCATTTGTCTTGTCCAGGAGTAAATACAACCTACAATAACCCGTGATTTACCAATCTGTCAATCCCTATGAAAATATGACCAAAAGAAGCCAATAATATTGCATATACTATGCACTAACTCAGACTCTGAAAATTGCAGTACACACACCTCTCTAAGAATTGAAAAATGGACTTCATGGGTAGCCAAACCCAACATAATCAAATCAGCATCCTGTCATAAGAAACCAAAATTATATGAACAAGTTCATCAAATCCGGGATAAAAAAGTGCATAGAAGATATTGAGTGACAATCAAAAAGAAGTTGCTTTCCAAGAATAACAAAAAATTGGAGGATATATACCAAACCATACAGGCAATGTCGTGTATTCGGATCATATCCTTCAAGATTTCTTTGAAGGCGGATATAGGACATAATCTTATGCTCCCCTTCACCAGGAACATTTGCATCAGAGAGAATAACCTTCAGATATACACATAAATTAAAGTATTAATAACCAACACTCCACTGAAACACACATGACCATAACAATTTAAATCATAATACAATGAACTTACCTTGATATTTGTCCAACCAGGATCGTTGTTCAGCCTAAGATGAATATAGTACTGAAGTGCAATTGACAAAACAGCCATGAATTCGGTTCCAGGCGTGATTACATTTGAATCAAAAGTCTGTGACTCTTCTTTAGGAGGAAGTTTTCTTCCCTCCCTCTCAAATTCCTCCCTTAACCTTGCTTCTTCAGCAGCCTACCAACAAGATAATTGTGGTAAAAAAATAATGAATCAAATGTACCCTTCTTTTCAAATATTTCATCGCTTTACCGAGAGATTGAAATTGAACATGTATCGGTAATATAAAATGAACAGACAACATACAGAAATCACAAAGGAGTGTATGCATGCGCTGCTATACCAGCTAAATATTACACCACTGGCCTCAAGCAAGAAGACTATTAAATCAACACAAATTTGCAGACAAATACCGAATAACAGAATATTGAATATTACAATAAACTCGCAAGTGATCAGACCAATGTGCAGTTCAAGCTTCCAAATACAAACTAGTAGGGCAAGAAATTCAATTTATTATAAACAACAATCCCAAAGTGTAAGTTTATAATATAGTTCACTGAAAGTGCTCCACAGTCCACATCAATAAGAAGCATGATAAATCAAAATCTGCAATAAATCACAGTCTAAATAAATCTGCAATAAGAAAAAAAACACAACACAACATACCGCATCAGATGAGTCTTTAGCTGACCTAAACCGCCTAGACCGTTGCTGGTTCATTTTAGCCCTCGGCGCAACGCCATCTACACAATTTAATACCCAAAAATCAAAATTAAGCCTCACCAGCAACCAATAAAACCATGTAAACCAAAATACCACAATTTTCATAGCAAAGAAATAGCACAAACCAATAGCCATAAAGAGCAATTTCCTTGGTCGCACCATGTTAAACAGCCTATCAATGTAATCAAACATACACTCAAACACCTCCTCGAAAGAAGTTGGAGATGGCTGCAATCACATAACTCAAAAATATTAGCATTACTCCAAATCCAATAACAACAACAACAATAATAATAATAATATAATCAAATAACTTAAAATCATTCACAATAGTCTGAATTCAACATCAACAACAACAACAATAATAATAATGGATTTCATAATCATAATGAGAAATGTAAAGGTTACTAACCCTATCCTCAGGATGAAAACAAGGATGAATGATACCGTTCATATCAAGATAAAGATTGTCATATTCGATGTTGTTAGGGTTTGGCTTACTCGTATCGACAGGGATTTGAACGCCCTCGATAACAACCGCTTCTTCCTCGACGGAGTCGACAATCACCATCGGATATTTCTCGGCAAGCCACCTATAGAACGCTGGGACTCCCATCGTTCACTCTCAAACTCAGATCGAAGCTATTCGCTCCAAACAACGAAGAATTGTGCGAAGAGAAAGTTGCCGCCGATTAACGGTTAACGTGCAAGATTTCTTGAATTATGGTTGTTGCCTCTTGATAGTGTCTAGGGCGAGATGATGATGTTATTAGACGAGATTACCCTTAACAAATTATTGAGAGTGAGTTGATTTTGTATCAATTACGAGTGTCTTTTAGGTCTTTTGCGTGATTGGAGTCGGTTAGGTTAATACCGGAACCGTAAACTCTGTTTGCGGCGCAGCAGGGAAGCTATATATTTCTACAGCTGATGTGTCATCGGATTATATTATTATTATTATTATTATTATTATTATTATTATTATTATTTTGGTTGAATTTAATACTAACAAGAGATAAAGAGATAATAAATGAAACTTAGGCATATCATATAACATAGTTACTTTTATAGTAGAAGAATTCTCGTATTTTGTTAATCAATTACCATAACAATTGACATCTTGAAATGCATGAAGCAGCACTAAGTATGAGATAAAGTAGATTAGATTAGCAATGATCAAAAGTTGAAAAGAGTTGTTAGAATGAACAATTGTTCTTTGAAGAGAGAGAAGAAGAATGAATAAAAGTGTATAAGATTCTCTTACTTTGGTATTATGATCCATTGAATGTAAAGAGTGATATCTAGTCTCTAATACAAGATAGATTCTACAGGTTAGTTACAACTTACAACCTATAACTTGAAGTTAGTTACATCCACTGCCTAATATAATTAACCTTCTAACCATTTTGAAACGACCTTATGAGCTTATCAACATGCATAAACCATTTATACTTTAATATTCCTCCACAAGCTTATGGTGGCTTGAACAATGCAACCTTGAATTTGCTTTTAAAATTAGTGAACATAGATGTTGGAAAAAGGTTTTATTAACATTTCAGTATTTTGAGCATGAGCAAGAACATATTAGATTTATAGATGATTTGCTACAACTCTCTCCCAAACAAAGTGAATATCAAATTCAATGTATTTCGTCCTAGCATATGATATTGGATTATGTGATAGCATCATCGCACCGAGAGATTGACACATAATAATGTGGCATTAAGTAATCAATGTGTGATTTTGAGAGAAAAGACGTCAACCATAACAACTTCAAGATTGTATGCACCAATGTCTGATATTTTACTTTTGTACTTGACCTTGCAACTAGAGTTTGGTTCTTCGAGATCTGTGATACTAAATTGGGGCAAAAATGCATACATGAACCCGAGGTTGATCTGCGATCATCAGGGTGTTAGATGCCAAACTTTGCTTATTTTCTCTATCAAATATTGGCATCTTTCACTCTTTTGTAGGTAAAAGTGATTAGAATCACTCTAATTTTAGATGATTTGCTTCATTGTTGATATATGCCTTGGTTGCTTTGATTTGTGTGTTATTGTGCAGGAACTAGGCACAAAACAAGTGAATATTAAGATACAATAAATTGGGCAAGGAAACCAAGACAGCAGAAAAACATCATAAAACTCGTTGTGCGAAACTCCTAGCGAAACTAGCCAGAAAACTTCACAAAGCTCGCTAAGCGAAGAAGGCAGCGAAAAACTCGCTATGGGAAGAGGTAGTGAGTAGCCATCAAACACTCCTAGACTTGAGACAAAGGCGAAAGGGTCATAAACTCGCTAGGCAAAGTTCACAACGAAGGTTTCGCTAGGCGAAGAATTTCTCCCCAGCGAATATTTAAAAATGTCTCAGGGGCGGTTTAACTGTTCAGAGGCACCTCAGGTGCCTAATTTGTTGTTCGCTAGGCGAACATGATAGATCCTGAATGTACTATATAAGTATTTTTATTGCTTTTTAGGTCAGAAGGTAATATTTTCTAGATCAGAACTTATCTCTCTTCATTTCAAGTTTATTTTAGAGAGAGAAACACAAAACCCTAAGAGGAAGGAGGTAAGATCTTTGATCTCGTGTTAGGGTTTGGATATAATCTTTTGATACCTTATGTATTTCATCTAATTTATGTTTGTGAACTAGTTTGGATTCTCTATTGATTGATTATCTTTGATTACTTGTTTTATGGGTCTTGACAAAATCTTTTCACATCTTTGATCTCAGATTTTCTTCTATCAATGAACAAACTTTTGACATGGCTTTGTAAGTTGATATTCATTGTATCCTCTTTGGTATTGTGTTGATTAAGTAGCATGGGTAGCATAAGTAGGATCAATATGATATTGTGCGGGTGCATGATAATAGTGATGAAGAACGATGTTCACAACTATTTGGCAGACTAGGTGAATACATGTAAAAAGGGTTAAGCGTGTGTACGTATTTTGATCATTGTGTTTTATGCAAAATAATCGTTTATCCGATATGGGTGTCGTCTTTGTTTACCTGTTTATCTTTGATTTGAACCGTGATAGACATATACTCTTCAGATCTGGATCTAGGATGATTACATGTTAGGTCCTAAATGCTATACATAGGTTTAGGCTTAGCATTTGCGTGAGTATCAGCTCTTAATGCTCTGTGTTGTATTTTTGTTGGGTGAGACATCACCAATGAGACAACACGGTTGTTCTCTCGATGCTGCGTTAGAGATGACCTCGCCGTGGGTGATATATGATATTAGACGAATGATTGCGTTGTGTTTAACTTGATTAGAAGAATGCATGTGTTATCAATTGATGAGATTCAATCCCAACGAGGCTCTGTTTATATTTTAGTCTTTACTTTATGTTTTCCGTCTTTATATTTTCTGCTTTTACTCCTGGTTTCTTGAACCTTTTAAACCAAACCTTTTGATCAAAAAATTTAGAAATGTAGAAACCGTTGAACAGAGTTCTTTCATCGCACCAATTGTAACACCCTTATTCTACCCCACAGATATTACGGCAAAATAACACGGATTTCAGAGTAAAATATTTACTTTCATTAAAAAGCCACAAAGGGCGTACATTTCTCAAAGTCAACAAAATTGGTCAATACTCCGTAACACACGGGTTTTCTTAAAATACATCAAAACATCATATACAACGGAACTCAAAGAACCCAACCTGATGTTACATATCAGAGCAAGACCCTCTAAATTAACCATAAAGGCTAACGACTCTAAAACTTCAAAAATACTTCAACGGCGTCCACGGCTAAACCTGGTCATCTGCACGTTACCCACATGGAGATAACATTCAAACAGGCAGGGCGAGTAAGACAATTCATAATAATCAATGTATAACAATTAATGCATAAACGGCATATTACTCGTAGTTATATTCAACACATTGATATTCTTCAATTATGCCTCAAAGGCCACAATGTCATAATTATACACAAAGGCTCATAAATGCAAATGCAACATAGACTCAATGCATGCGGTACCAATTATCACATCGCGATGGACACTGGGCCATCAATCCTCCATAGATCCCCCATCAATAAGATCGATTCTACTAGAGAACCGGAGCACATCATAATACTTCACATCCACACAGTGGGATTGAAGTCAAATTAATCGAGGTCCTGAACCGAAGTCCGGATGCACATGAATGCATGTTGCACACGTCACAAATCATCCTCATAATAACATCATAGGTGCATCATCATTCATCATATTCATCATATTCGTCATATTCATCATATTCATCATCATCAAACGTCATAGCTCATCAACACAGTCATCATCGTACGTTACATCATCATAACTCGTTATAATAATCATCTTCATACTTCATAGCTCATCATAATAATCACCATCACCACATAAATCATCGTATCTCACATAACTCACCATAATAATCATCGTCATCACATAAATCATCATATTTCTTGTTATCACACAATTCATCATAATAATCACCATCATTACATAAATCATCATCACATAAATCATCATAATTCATCAAACATCATATCATCATAATTCATCTTAATAATTAATCTCACACATCATCTCATCATATAATCACGTACAAATCACATATTAGCTCATAATACTACCCTATATTATCTCATATTAATTTATCAAATTATACTCGTGGTAATCCTCACACTATCACCCATCAATCACATAAACTTCACAGTCCTACTCATGTTAATTCATCATATTATCACAGTTACCCCCATGGTAATTCATCAGGAAAATCGCAGCATCAAAACATCAAGACATCACTGAACCAGAACATGATTCGTTACTAGAACATATACCCAATTGAATTCTCAAACATAATTAGATATAAAAATATTGGAAAAACATTTCCCTTATCTATACTATGTTATATCCGTGTTTATTAGCTTTTCAACGCTTCGAACGGGGGTCAAAACGGACTTACGGATCAAAAGTTACGTCCAAAACAATTTCGACCAAAAACATGAACCGTCGTGACGAACAGCAAAATGCTGTTACGCTCCGGAACCTAAATCAACCCAAAAGTCCACACGATTCACTTCCTTAATGCCCCTAAAACATCCATAAATCATCCCTAAGGTCCTACGGCAATAAAGGCACAAAACCTACGGTTTGTTAGGCCAATCCGGCAACATTTGCACTGCCTAAATCACTATTTTCCTGCAATTGCTCTGAGTGCATCAGAGTTACTCACATTTGAACATTCCTATTACTACAGGGTCAAACATATCACAATCCAAGGTTTTGGCCACGAAGGCAAAAATCAATATTTCTCATCTCTACACTCAAAGGGTCAAGAATACTAACCACTAACCTCCATGGTCTACCGTCAATTTCCTTACAATTGCTCCGAAGGCATCGTAATTTCAAATATCAAATATTCTATCCCATATGGGCAGACATATAACGATATAAGGTTTTGGCCACAAAGGCCTAAGGTTTCCTTTCTCATATCAATATTCAGTGTTACATACCATTAACCATAACCTCAAAGCCTTATCACCAATTTCCCTATTTTCCCACAACCAACCCAAAATACCTTAAATCTTAAATCAACCATAAACACACCGAAAGGCATACATGGAAAATAA